ATGCAAATTCTACAAAGTAGGTTTTAAGCCCAAAGAGTCCTAATTGGTTTAGCCTGATGCTCTTGAATAAAACCAGTGTTGCTTTAGAATTGCCAAGTATCATCATATCAATATATACTACACACTGTTCTTGTTATTGTCTAGCCAGAGACCCTGAAAACTCTTGGGATCTTTCAAAAGTGCGGTAAGTCAAAGAACCTAACCAAAAATGTTATATACAAGAGCTGAAAAGTTAATACTAAAGCTTTAGTGTGTGTGACTGCATTAGAGGCTATATTCGTTCAAGGGGCAGAGGTAACTGAGCTGGTAATGGAAAAATAAGTATGTTATAAATTAATGGTTCATGACTAGGTCTCAGCTCTGTAATCACAAACATTAAGCATTTTTATGTGCTGGCATTAAATTGTGAAAGATCCATCAACAGCAAGCTAAATACCTACTGAACAAAAATTGGGTCAGCTACTCAAACTGGAGAGATTTCAAGACACTGCCCAAGGGAAGAAGAAAAAACACACACCTCCCTCAGTGATTGCAGGGATACTCAAAAGGTGTAAAAACCATAAAATTTATAAACCACTATAACTCAGAAGACAATGTGACAGGGAAATAATTTAGGATTAACTACAGATAAATGGGTATAATCAAACTGGACATACTTTTGGATATCATCATTATCAAGCTACGTGAGTTATCATTATTGATAGAGCTCAGATCGTGCTACTCCAAAATATGACACCTTGGCATACTGAAACTTTAAGGTCCTGCTAAGTTTCCCCCAGTTCACTATCCTTAGCTCATATCCTTTTGTCCTATCACATTTTGCCATGACTTTTCACTTTTCATCAAAACTAGTATTAAAACACTCAGGTTTAATCATTTTGGGGGGTGGGGGTTTGAAGGCTCTCATCTCATGTAAAACGTATTAGCCCTGGCCAGTGTTGCTCAGTGGCTAGTGCGCTGGCCTGCAGACTAAGTGTCCCGGGTTCAATTCCGGTCAAGGGCACGTACCTACGTTGCAGTCTTGATCCCCGGCCCTGGTCAGGGCTCATGCAGGAGGCAACCAATCGATGTGTCTCTCTCACGTCGATGTTTCTCTCTCTTCCCCTTACACTCTCTCTGAAAAGGAATGGAAAAATATATCCACAGGTGAGGATTAAAAAAACAAACAAACATATTGAATAACTCTGTATGCTTTCTTTTGTTAATCTGTCTTTTGTCAGTCCAATTCACAGGGGCCCGACCAGAGAGTCAAGGAGAATAGCAGAAAAAAGCATTTTTCCTCTTTTACAATTTTAGTGACTATGAAAGGACAGCTGGGACACCCCACTTACCCCAGAGACTACAGCAAAAAAATCATGGGACAATTGACAAAAGCCAGTGAAAGATAAGAAATCTTACCAAAATCAGCCTGCCAGATTTCTGTCTGCGTCTGGTCAAGAGAGGAAGGTGAACTTCTTGTCCCTTCTTTTCAAATTCAGTGTATCAGGAAAAACCATTTGTAAAAATTAGTTCTTTGGATTGTGACTCTTGTGAATTTGGTTTTGGACACCGATTTGTTATTGATCTTCAGCCTCTCAGAAAGTCATTGTTTTCCTGTATCTCTGTCATTTGCGTCTTTTTGTTATCATTGTAATTAGCTAGTTTATTAATATTAATAATAGGAAGAGAGCAAAGGGGAGGCCAGAGATTATAAGCATGGTCATCTGGGCAGCTTCACCAGGAAGCTACAGGGGCACACGCCCCAGGGAACCACTGGTCCGCTCCCTGCAGATCACTGGGGGAAGGGATGGAACAAAGGGGGAGATGGGCGCATGTGCAGTTAAGTCAGGGTGAGGCAGGGAAGGTGCCTCCTTGTCAGTCTAGCCTGGGGAACAATGGACTGGCCAGGGGTGGGCCCCATCAGAAGCATGTGAAATCTTGATAAGTTAATTGGTTAGTCTGAAGAAGCTCCTAGTTAAAATCCTCAGAGAGTTCCCTCGCTCTTGTTCTCTCTTGCTTCATGACTGGCACTTGCTCCTGCGTTGGTGCATTCTCTCTCCATAGCCATGTGGCTTAGCAGCCGCATGGGCCATGACCATGCAGGCTCCACATGCAGGATGCTGAACTGGACTGAACTTTAATATCGAGCAGAAACTATGGGTAGTAGCCTTTGTTCTGGCCCTGCTGTGGACAAGATTGGACTTCTTCCATGGCAGGACAGAGAGAGGACACTGGAAACCCAGGCGTTTATTTCCACACCAATAAATGTTACTCATCCTCCTATGCAAGTCTCAGGAAATTCTTTTCCTTGCAACATCGCAGAAACTCCACTTCCACCAATAACACTGTTTTTATAAGGAGTTCCTTTATACCACCTATAAAGACAACAAAAGTATTTACTTTCATAGACTACCTTTGGGAGTAATTCTAGATCTGGGGTGGGTCTTCATCTTTTGCACCCTCTTTGATTCTTATGTCCATAGTTAAGCTATAAAAAGGCTTATTGTGTTGAAGTTGCATTGAAGGTGTATCTTTGAAGATTTGGACTTTTATATAAATCTAAAAGGATTTTTAGACAGCATTCATCCTTAACAAATGTTATATTGGTACCTATGAGATATCAGACTGAAGGAAAAGAACACATATAGGCAAATGACTTGGCTGGTCTTGGGGGCTGAGGGGAATTCTCCTAACAAACTTAGGAGGCAAGATCAGATAGAGCAGGCTTGAGATTTATGTTAACACTAATAGCCAGAAAAGTGTTGACAAAGGCCTTTCCATGCTAAGCCCCTGGCAAATATATTTTAGACTCCCACCACAAAGAATTCATTAGACTGTTTTGTACTTTTTTAAAAAAAAAAAAGAGAAAGAGCCCAGCTGGCGTGGCTCAGCGGTTGAGCATCAATCTATGATCCAGGAGATCAAGGTTCGATTCCTGGTCAGGGCACAAGCCCGGATTGCGGGCTCCATTCCCAGCAGGAGGCGTACAGGAGGCAGCCAATCAATGACTCTCATCATTGATGTTTTCTCTCTCCCTCTCCCTTACTTTCTCTGAAATCAATAATTTCTTTTTTTAAAAAGAAACAAATAATAATTACCCTAGATTTCTGATAAGGAAATATGCCCCTGAATTCCTTCTTAGAGAAAACACATCCTTTCCCTGTGCCTTTGAATTTTCTATCCTTTCTGCTCGAGGACCTGAGAGCCATCTTTTGAAATGCAAACTTTCAAGGAGGCAAACTGCCTCCCAACTAAAAGGAAAAAAAATTAAAGAGGCTTTATGGAACCAAACAGCTACTGTTTCCAGAATCCCTTGCCAAAATTTGGTTCACAGCTTCCACAAGAGTATTTATCAAGGACAAATGAAAATCTTAAAAATCTTCTCCACAAATATTGGTAAAAAAGAAAAAACTTTAGCAATCATTGAACAAGTAAACTTGTTCCATCCACCAGAAACGTATTTGGATTAAAAAATAAGGAAAAGATGAGGATCAACTCTTATATAAATTAGTGAATTGTGTGGCCCTGGCCAGTATGGCTCCGCTGGTTGGAGTTGTCCTGTGCACCCAAGGATTGCCGGTTCAATTCTGGTCAGAGCATGTGCCCAGGTTGTGGGCCCCGGTGGGGGTAGTCCAGAAGGCAGCTGATCAATGTTTTGCTCTCCCATCGATGTTTCTCTCTCTCCCTTCCTCTCTCTCTAAAAGTCAATAAAAATATTTCAAAAAGAAAAAAATTAGTGACTTGTCTTTTTATGTATTTATAACTACTCACAGCTAAGATTTAGAATGAGAGCTATAAAACTTGTTTATATGTATGTTTTTCTATGTGTCTGCATGTATGTTATGTATATGTAGTATTTTCTACCTCAAGATGGTATTACAAAATTTATCAAATCCTTTAAAGGAGTTCTATTCAAATTGGCTAGAGATAAATGAGTGCTTATATATATTAAGTGCTCCAAAACTCTTAGAAATATAGAAACTAATCCAAATGCTCTTTAGAAGTTCCTGTGTGCTGAGATAATCTTTGATAAAATAAAGACTAGTTTAAAATTTTTGATTTAATAAAAATTTTCAATGTTGTCACCATTAAAAAAAATACAGATATACAGTCTTTTTCTACCTAGCTTTACTAGTCAACAAGCTTATGCTGCCTCTACTAGATGTTTAGGAACTATAAATCCAACCCAAGAACAAATGTACAATGAAAATGAATTTCTTAATGTATGTCAAGCACAGCAGTAAAAACCAACAACCATATGTTTAACTTTTTAGATTCTTTGCTTCTGATTTTTTTATACTTACCTCTGTATGCAAAGTATGCAAACTAAGAGAAATGTTAGTAATAATAATTCAGATTTGTAAACAAGAAAAAAATCATTTACAATGATCTTTTCTTTAATGTCACATATTTTGTTTAAAGATTCATTTGAAAATTATTCTTAAAATAAGTAAGCATAATTGTTAAAAATAAGGAAATAAAATAGATGTGAGGTAAGTTTTTAAGTGAAATTTTCAACAATAATTATTTTATAATATGTTAACTTAAAAATCTTTTGGATAAATTGAAAACTTAAAGCTATACTGAGTTAAATGATGAATATTCATATGCACTGAATATCTAGATCTAGCTCCAAATAAGATAAAATACTGAAACATTAACTGCTGAATATAAATTTATCTGCTTTTGGCTTAATTTTTATACAAAGTCAAAAGATATTTGGATCTGTTAGTAAACATGTCCCTTACACAGTGAAAAATTGCACTGTGAGGAAACAGCATATACCTATATAAAAAAGTGAGATAGTATATTCAAAAAATTTGCTAATCTGCTACAGAATGCTGGTATCTGATAGGCAAGTCACTACTATCTACTTCCTAGCTTCCTCAGTAAAGGAAAGGTTACCAATGTTTAAAAATTATAATGAATATATGTAAATGAAACTACTAGAATAATAAGAGTAAAAAAAAACACACCTCTGTATGCAAAGTATGCAAACAAAATAAAATGTGTTTTGTTCTGCTCTGTTTCATTTTTTTAATCCTCACCCAAGGACATCCTTAGAAACATCGATGGGTTGCCTTCCATACTTGCTGATTACCGGGAACTGAACCCGGAACCTACGTATGTGCCCTGACTGGGAATCCAAACCACAACCTCAGATGTGCTTTTGATAAGGAAAGGTAAGGGATGAATGATGTGTTTGTTACAGGAAAAGAGTGAAGTTCTGTCTTAAAGTAGAATGACTGGTTATTCCAGCATAAGAAAGATGAACTAAAACTCTAAATGGTATTTTAAAATGTGTAGAAGGTTTGTGGAAAAGAATTTTACACGTGCTCAAACTGCTAAGATTGAAAGGATTTACTTATAAGTTAAAAAAAAATCTTGCTAGGAAACAAAGACTTTGTATCTTATCAAAAAGTTTCCTTTGCATCATGTTGTTTTTATCATGTCTTTAGTTACTTTAAAAACAAAAACTGAGTCTTCCCAGTACTGAAGGAGCTAAAGTTGTTTCTGCTGTTTGTTTTTTACATTTATGTTACTTCTTATATTTGTCTTTAAAATCTTTTATCATCACTTTGGTTAAATGAATAAGTATTGTTTCATAGTAACCTCTGACCCTATTTAATCAAATGTTCATTTTTGACAAAATTCCTAAAATCAAATTCTAAAATGAAGTCTTTTTGACCTTGGACTAACTTGAGATTTCCCAGAGGGCCACTGGAAAAGATCAAAAGATTTGTTCCTTTACATTATAAAGAGAAATGTTAATAATAATAACTCAGTTTATTTGATATATTAAATTGCATGGAAGACACAGTCAAATACAAAGGGTTATATCTTAGTGGGTGAATGTTAATATAGGTATTCCAGCAACTGTATGAAGGTTGTAGAAATTTGTCAATACTTTTATTGTCTGATTATTGTTAATATCTTGTATGCCAGAGAAATAAACCAAATTTCCTTATCAAATGAACTCTCATTAGATCTTAGACCTCAGTCATTTTAGGTCTTGTCATCCATAGATAGTTTCTGTTTTACTCTTATTCTTCTCAGATAACGTCTGAAACTGTCCACCCAAGATCAAGTGGAAGAAGAATTTATTCCATGGGACTGAATGAACTGGTAAGGAGGATTATGATTTTTTTATGGCCTTCTTGTTTGAAACTTTGCTGTTTTTCGAATGTTCTATTTTCCAGCTATAAGGAACTCCTTTCCCTTTTCTTTTAAGCTATCTGTATCTTAACAGCAATTCGATATATTATACCTTGGTAAACAAAAATGAAACATTTATCTTTTCTCCCTGCCTGATCCCTCCAAAAGTTAGAAACTCTTTAAGTGTTCTTATTTGCATGGCAATATAGTTATTTTATTATTTTTTTAATTCTCACCCAAGGATATATTTAGAGAGAGGAAGGGAGAGAGAGAGAAAAAGAAAGAAAGAGAGAACCATTAATTGGTTCCCTCCTATTCATGCCCAACTGGTAGGTGCCTGACCAGGAATCAAACCTGCAACCTTTTGGTGTATGCTCCAACCACCTGGCCAGGGCAGCAATATAGTTATTTTAAAAAGTTCAGTAAGAATCTGTTCGCCTTGCCCTGCCAGTGTGGCTCAGTTGGTTGGGCACTGTCCTATGCACCAAAATGTTGCTGGTTCTATTGCCAGTCAGGGCACATGCCCGGGTTGTAGGCTCGGTCTCAAGTAGGGGGCTTGCAGGAGGCAGCCAATCAATGTTTCTCTCTCATCAATGTTTCTCTCTCTCTCTCCCCCCCTTCCTCTCGCTCTAAAAATCAATAAAAACATTTTTTAAAACTAGAGAAAAAAATAAAGCAAATTTTAAAAGGCCTGTGTGGTCAGTTATCAATCTTGGTGCACTTACGTAAATAATCAGGCCAACCTTACTCTGGTTATCTTTAATCGACAAGGGGGATAACTGTAAAGAGAAATTTTTACATTTCAATGGAAAACTATAGTACACAGCTGTGGAGTCTCAATTCTAGTTTCCTCAAATACCTGGCTACCATTCTCCAAACTAACATTCCCAATTTTCCCGCACCCTCCTCACTTGATATCACTAACAACTAAAACTACCCTTCCCTTTAAAGCTCTGAAAGCTAAATGGGCAAAACCTGACATACACTTCAAAGAAATCACCACAACAGATCATGCACGGACAACTTTGTGCCTACTGCTGTGTGGGCCACTCAGAAAGGTGACTGGAACAGCTGATGCCATCACCAGAGACATTCAAACTGAAAACACGGAAATTCATCAGACTGCCCCTGCCTCTCCTTACTGCACCATCTGAAGATACTTTGAGCGCAACATCTAGAAATCTTGACTGATTGCCCTCTGGACTCAAAAACCTATGTTTATAGTTTGTACTAATCATTAACTTCTGTTTTTTATAGAAATGTCCTTCATTAAATGCCTGATCGCTCACACCATATAGAGGCCTAACTTAGGTTTGTGTCCTACTCCTACTTACACCACTGCCTCCTGAGGCCCAACTATTTAACTAGACCAACCTATTCCCAGGACTGAGAGACTAGTTCAACTCAGTTTCTGGACTGTAAAACTTTCACAGGAAACTTTCTAGGGAAAGTTTCAGATGAGGGAATGATGTGGTTCAGAATACGTAATCCCAAAAACATGGTGCATTGGCACCATATTTTAAGCTAAAGGAATTTGAAAAATGGCAAGTGCATGAAGAACTCTCCAACCTCCTCTTTTCCTCTGAAGCAGGTCAAAAAATCTTCATGTGATAGGTGTTCTACTAATATGTGGAAGAAAAGAGCATTCTTATGTCCAAAGACAAAGGGACCTGATAAGAGGAATCCTAGCAAACAGGCTCGCTAAGTTTTCCCCAGTTTACTACACTTAGCTCATACCATTTTGTCCTATCACATTTTCCCATGGCTTTCCACTCACCACCCTAGTAAAAAACACCCTGGTTTAACCATTTCTTTAGTCTTCATTTCCTTATGAAGGCTCCCGTGTTGTGTAAAACTTATATTAAATAAATTCGTATGCTTTTTCTCTTGTTAATCTGTCTTTTGTCACTCTAATTTACAGGACCCCAGTCAGTGATCCAAGGAGAGTGGCAGGAAAAAGAATTTTTCTTCCTCTACATTATCAAGCAGTATGAGAAAAACAGATGAACAAATTGTGGACTAATGAAGTCATTGAAGCACAAGGACAGAGAATGAGGCTGAGAGCCAAAAACTTCAGCTCAACTCCTGATGAGTAAGTTCTAACAGTCCTCCACGTTAGCAAGGTTCTAGTCAACAAAGCAGAGAGAAAATGGAGACAAGGTCTCAAACGTCAAATATAAATTCTTTATGCAACACCACTCAAGTGAGCTGCTAAAATCAGAATGTATTTATTGACCAATCACAACTACAAATGCTGATTCTTCTTCAAAGAAAAAGATTTAGGAATAAACAATGCCATTTTACTAAAAAGGTATCAACTTTCTCTATGATTATTATAAGCATCCCTTTCTGAGAATTGGCTATCTCAAAGCTTTATATTTAATTATTAAAGCAGATTCCTACAAAATTACCCAAATCAGTCACATCTGTCTAGGCCTAAAATCTCTCAGAAATGACATAAAAATAGTTTGACTAATTGGGAGAACCAAAGCACAAATTTGATTCTACCAAACTGTAAAGGAAAAGAGGCTTTCAAAATTTTTAAATGTATATATGTAAGGGAATAATAATAAATTTGGTAATATTTAGCTTAATTACTAAGAGAAAAGTGGAAAATTTTTTCTATTTAAGCTACATCCATACTCTGAAATGCTTTGAGGATTTAGAGAAGAAAAATTCACCCTAAAGCAGAGCCAATTTATACTAATCACTCCTCTTTGCTAAGTATCACAAAACAGACTGATTTGATCATTCTTTCATTCAAAACCCTTACTATCTGCCAGATGCTAACAATACACTGAGTAAGAAACAGTCTCAGCCCTTGTAGTTTACAGTCTAAGGGATAAGGCAGTAATTTGAAAACACACACACACACACACACACACACACACACACCAATCAATGAATCTAAATCCGTGTCCCCATCCACAAGAAGAAGAGTGCTACCTGTAGATCTTATGGGAACAGATGAAACAACAGGTTTGGGCTATAAAATGAACTACACCTATGAGCCACAGATGTAGTTTACTTTACACACAAACACATTATTTTACTTTAAAGAGAAAATATCACAGAATCTCTCCCCACAGAAATGAAAACCATAATAAACTTTACAACAGCATCAGGGGATATAAATGCTTCATTTCAGGGGTCACAATATAGATACCCTAGAATTACACAGCAACAGGTGGCCCATAAATTGTCAATTTAGAGTACTGATTAAAAACGGATTCAAAATAGAAACTTAAAGGGTATCAGGTTGCCTGATTCTACAAGAGACAAAATGATTGTTATATTTTATAACTAAGAAATGTATGTCTGTCAAGCAGGTACTATTTACTAATACATGTCAATTTATCTAGTCCCTTAATCTGTCAAAATTAAGACACTATAAAGAATATGTTAGGAGAAATTTGCTCTACTGATTGTCAGCTAACATACTTACTGGTGAAAGACTGAATACTTTTCCTTTAAGATCGGGAACAAGGTGAGGATGTCAGCTCTCACCATTTCTGAGGTTCTAAACCAGGAGTAGAGAATGTCTGCCCCGAGAAATCATTTGGTCTGGCCCTACTAAGGCAACCATAGGTGTGACTGGAAATTCAATAAATCTAGGAGATTTTTTTTCACAGCTAATTTTTAAGTTGATAATTTTGTATGGCCCGTGAATCATGTTATAAATATCCAAATGGTCCTTGGAAGAAAAAAAAAGTTTCCCCACCTCTGTTCTAGACAGTGTAATATGTCAAGAAAAAGAAATTAAAAGCATTCACAATGGAAAACAAGAAATGAAACTGTCATTTATAGATGACATGATCCTGAATGCAGAAAATCTAAAATCTCCAAAAAACTACTAGAGTAATAAGTTTAGCAAAGTTGCAGGATACAAGACTGACATACAAATATCAATTCCACTAGTAAGTATATCCAAAAGAATTGAAAAAAAAGGACTCAAACAGACATTTAGACACTCATATTCATAGCATTATTCATAAAGCCAAAAGGTAGAAACAGCCCAAGTGTCCTTGAACAGAGGAAAGGATAAATAAAATGTAGTAAGATACAATGAAATATTATTCAGTCTTAAAAAGGAATGAAATTCTGATATGTGCTACAACATGGATTGGACCTTAAAAACATTATACTAAGAGAAATAAGCCAGATTCAAAAGGACTTCTATGATCCCACTTATATAAGGTACCTAAAGGCAAGTACACAGAGACAGAGAGCAGAATAAAAGTTCCCAGGAACTAGAGCAGTCAAGAAACAGAACGGTGGTTGAGAGGGAAATGGGGAGTTATTGTTTAATGGATATGATGAAAAAAGTTCTGTAAATGAGTGGTGGTAATGTAACATATACTTAAATATACTTAACGCTGTTGAACAATATACTTTAAAAATGGTTAAAATGATAAATTTTGTTATATATATGTATCTTTTACTGTTGTGAAAAAACTCTACAAATACATTGTCATTAAATTATAACTTACAATGTGTAAATTTTATCCTATGTAAATTTTACCTCAATAAAGTTGTTAAAAAACTTTTTTAAAAGAATAGATTTGCCCAGCCAGTGTGGCTCAGTGGTTGAGCATCAACCTATGAGCCAGATCATGGTTTGATTCCCGGTCAGGGCACATGCCCAGGTTGAGGGCTTGATCCCTAGTAGAGGGTGTGCAGGAGGCAGCTGATCAATGGCTCTCTCATCATTGATGTTTCTCTCTCTCTCTGCCTCTCCCTTCCTCTCTCTGAAACTAATAAATTTTTTTTTTTTTTTTTAAATAGCCCTAGCCAGTTTGTCTCAGTAGTTAGAGCATGAGCCCTAAGGACTGAAGGGTCCTGGATTCGATTCTGGACAAGGGCACATATGTCTGTTGCAGGCTCGATCCCTGGCCCGGGTTGGGGCACGTGCAGGAGGCAACCAGTCGATGTTTCTCTCTCTCTCTCTCCCCCTCTTCCACTCTCTCTGAAAAGCAACGGAGGAAATATCCTCAGGTGAGAATTAAAAATAAAAAAATGTTTTTAAAAAGAATAGATTAGCAGGAACGTAAGCAAATATTAAGAGTTATTATAAAGTTCTAACAATTAAAAAGTGTGGTGTTAGTAAAGAGACTAATGAAACAAAACAGATGACAGAATTGCATTGTATAGCAATGAGAAACTGATAGACTCAAACAACAAACAAGGCTGGGACAATTGGCTCTCTACATGATGAAATAAAATAAAATTATATCAGTATCTCACACCATACACAAAAATAAGTTCAGGTAAAGATCAAATTGTGAAAAAACAAAACTAAACATGTTAGAAAGCTATATAGAAGAGTATATGACCTCAAGATAGAGAAAAGTTTCTAAAACAAGATTTAAAAAGGAGAGAAAAAAATGGATCAATTTTACATTAAATAATTTAACTTCTGTATAAAAGCCACAAGTAAAAGACCAGAAAACCAAGTCACAGACCAGAAGATATTTGCACATGATGTTAAAGGGTTATAATAAAGAACTTTTACAAATCAGTAAGAAAAGCCTATGAGATTCCAATAGAAAAATGGGAAAGGGTATGAATATAGCCAACACTGTACAAAAAAGGAAATCCCAAAGGCCTACAAACATATTAAAAGACACTCAGTCTCACTAATGTCAAAGGAAGTGCAAATTAAAACAGAAGAGAAACTATTTCACAACCGCATGACTGACAAAAGTTTAATGTCTGACATACCACCTATTAGTAAGGATTCAGCAAAGAGTAATTAATACAACCGCTTCTGAAAGCAATTTGGGAGTATCTGGTAGAGTTGATACACTTTAAGCAACTTTGCTTATAGGGATGTACCCTAGAGAAACTATCACTCATGTGCACGTTTAAGGATGTTCACTCCAGTAAAAAATAAAAATAAAAAGGAAACATTAAAAGGGGAATGGGTAAACTGTGGTATACTCATACAATGAAGTACTACACAGAAGTTAAAATGAATCAACTAGAAAATCTACGTGTCAGACAGGTTAAAACTCAAAGTAAAGAGTGAAAACAGCAAGTTGTAGAATAGTATCTACCCTATACTACCATTTATATTAAGTTTATAAACATACAAAACAATGCTACATATTGTTTGTTGATATACAATTGATACTGATGAACAATATACAGCAAAAGTATTAAAAAATGAAGGGGAATTATAAATTATAAACAGCAAAGTTTGGACAAGTTACCTCTGTGATGGGAGAGAAAGGACAAAGGGCAATGAACAGAGAAGGGGTACAAAAGGGTCTTCAATTTTATCTACAATGTTTTATTTCTTTAAAAATATCTACAAAAAATTCTGCAAAATGCTAACATCTGTTACATTGGGCAGTGAGTACAACTCTCTCAGTGCTCTTCCATATGCTTGGGGAAAAATTTTTTTAAAACAGGCTTAACTCTTTTTGGAAACTATATTTGTAAAACTTATACTAATGTCTCTCTGGTGCCTAACTCAGTGTGATAGAAACTTTCAAGAATTTAGGTCCAAGCATGCTGTATGGTGGAATTTCCTTTGCCCTACCAAGATTATTTCTCAAAAAAAAAAAAGCACCCTGAGGCACTAAAAAAATCTGGCGGTGTGGATACCAGTGACGTCTTTATCAACCAACACAATCAACGTGCCATCCCCACTCACATCAGTTTTAAAATCTTTTACTTACAGCTAAATAATTCCCGAGTCATTAAGTTTTTGTGTAGGTCTCTATGCAAACTTTACCATGAACTACCCAACAAGTAAAAAAACCCCAAATTACATCTCTTTTCTAGTTTGAACATAATTTTCCCTCTCCACCCTACATTCTTCAGTCCCACACCCCCACAGAGAACTCAGTATGAGTCCTCCACATAGGTGCAGTGTTTCTGGACCTTCTAATCCTGGGCAGATTTAAGTGACTCAGACAGCATCAAGGGAGTATGTTATTAGTGCCCAGGAGAACCAAGCATGGAACTCTGCTCAACCAGCAATTTAGGATGCAAGCTCCTGAGAGAGAGGAGAATGATTTTTTATCTAAACATGACAAGTACATCAAACAGAAAATGATGCCCAGGAACAAGCAGTTCCAGAAACAGGAATTCAAATAAAAAC